TTTTTTTTTACTCAATACTTAATTATTTGTTAGCAAAACTTTCTATGTAGCAACTATATATGGCCCTAGATTAACTTCATAAGCTCCGCCCTCTTTCAAAAAGAACACAATCTCATTTGAATTTAAAGTGACAGTCACCTAAAAGGGTCAGTTTCAAAAAGTTCTGAAAACTGTTTGTGTGTTATTTTGAGCTGAAACTTCACAAACACACTCCAGAGGCTTATTTTACATCTTGTTAATAATAGGTCCGCTTTAAATGCAAAAAAAAAAAATGAGTATGAGAGGATTATCTTTTCCTGGTGTATCCATAAGAGCGTCGCTGGCCTTTTGATCATAACAGAGTGTGTTTATGTTGTTAGGGTTTAGTCATGGCGATACGCAGCACCAGCTCGACTGCAGGAAATGCCAGAGCGCTGGTGAAGGATCCTAGAGCTGGAAATGTTGAGTTTGGCTTTTGTCCCAGAGGTCACAGGAATATGAGATGCTCACGGCCTTACAATTACGTCTTAACTGGGAACAGCTCAGTTTTGTCTGCTCAGGAGACACAGATTTATTGTAGGGCTGCACGATATTGGAAAAATCTGACATTGCAATATTTAGTTTTTCTGCAAGAAATATTGCAATTATATATACAAATTCACCAGATGATGTACAGTGATCAGCATATAAGAGTACACCCCTCACAAATCTCTCATTTAGATTCATCTGTTCTATAGGAAGCTTTACAATATTATATTCGTACATATACATTGGATGTAGGGCTGGGCGATTTGACCTAAAATCTAAATCTCGATAAGTTGAACATTTGAACTATTACGATTACTTGATTACTTGACTTGGATTTCGTTATAAAGTTCTTATTTTTTATTTTTTTATTTTTGTCTTTCCTAGGATTATAGTTCATACCATAACAAAATGAACTGTTGCTAATGTAGGCTAATAAAAAAAAAATCATGTAGCGTAATGTTGAGTGCACCTCGTGCTCCAGGTCATAGCAGAAAGTGCGTCACCGTAGCATACTATGGCGAGGGAGGCGAGTATTTTCAATGCTCCAACTGCTTAAAAACGCAGAAACTGTGCTCAATTCCACTGCGTGTGTTTTCTGGACAGTCTTTCATTGACACTTACAGCAGAAGCCCCTATTTCACAGCGATTGAAAGAATGAAAGTAATCTCTCTCTCTCTCTCCCACTGTAGCTCATCTGACCTGCTGTTTCCGCTGTTACAGGTCGCTACAAGTAGTGAGGCTACTAGCTTAACAACATTTCTCAGTAGCGTGGCGGCAGCGTCGCTACTTTCTAAATCAAATAGCTTTTCAGTAGCGAAGCTATTTTATTAGTCAAGTAGCGCAGTAGCGTCCACAAAGCTACAGTTACCAATCACAGATCAATAAGTGACGCCACCGACATTCACTGAGCTGTGAGGCCGGTGTCTAGCCAAAGAAAGTAAATCCATATGAATGGGAGAAGGATTATTTCTTCTTCTTCCTGTTTTATGGTGTTGACAAGTTTTGGTGCGTTACTGCCACCTCTGGTGAAACTTGCTTGATGGAAAGATTACTGAGGGAGAGGACTTATTTCTGAAGCAGGATTCCTTGTGACCATACCTCGAGAAGTACATGTTAAGATGCATCAACGTAATTTCTGATGCTGTGCTCCAAAAATAAAAATACTATATAATATAAAACACTATAATGCTTATTACAATATATATATATATACAAAAATATTTCCTTTTACTATAAATGACTATAGTATTTTAAATGTGTAACACCTGGTCTTATTGGAATGTTTTTTTTTTTTAGCTGTTATACTATAATCTGTTTCTGTTTAGTACAGCGTATTATGTACAGTAAATAACTGAACTAAACTGTTATGCCGCATATGATTCATTGACAGTTTTATTAATCGATAAGAGAGTTTTGATTTGGATTTAAGTTGCTTTGATTTAAAAATGAAAATTGTAAAAATAGCTTAGATGTAGCTAAGTTACTTTTGCCATGTAGCTTTTAGCTTAGCTTGTTACATTTCCTAGGGGGTAGCTTTAGTGTAGTTAAGCTACGTTTTAAGTAGAGTAGCTAATAGCTTACCTCACTACATTTGTCAAGTAGCTTGCCCAACACTGACAATATTTATTCTGATGATTTTAAATCTTGCACCTCACAATTATCTTTATTTAGAAAAAAACTAACTAATACTGAAACGAATAAAAATTAAACTAAAACTAAGTCATTTCAAAATATAGAAACTAATAAAAACTAGTAAATCTGCCTCTAAAAACTAATTTAAACTAAACAAAAAGTCAAAACGAAATAGAAACTAAAACTAATGAAAAATCCAAAACTATCATAACCTTGGTAGTGAGGGCTTTTACAGCCTTAAAACATCTATAATAATTGAAAAAAATAAAGCAGACTACTTCGAAGATTTCGCCTATCGCGCGTTATTTTTAGAATGTAACTCCCGCGATAAATGAGGGACGACTGTATATACAATTTCACCAGATGATTTGAAAACTGCTATTAGCAAAGAATTTGTACATTTATAATGATCTTGGTGATTCTGTAGGGAAGTGAATCATGCATAAAATGTAATAAAAATTACAAGCAAATACAAAAAAAAGCTAAGATAAATGTGAAGTAATAATAATTAATAATAATTCCTTACATTTATATAGCAATTTTCTGGGCACTCAATTCGCTTTACACAATGGGGGGAATCTCCTCATCCACCACCAGTGTGCAGCATCCACCTGGATGACGCGACGGCAGCCATTTTGCACCAGACCGCACACCACACACTGCTGATGATGGAGAGGAGACAGAGATGAAGCCAATTGGAATATATGGAGGGTTAGGAAGCCATGATGGACAGAGACCAGTGGGCAGATTTGGCCAGGATGCCGGGGTTAAACCCCTACTCTTTTTCGAAGGACATCCTGGGATTTTTAACGACCACAGAGAGTCGGGACCTCGGTTTAACGTCTCATCTGAGAGACGGCGCTCACTGAGCAGTATAGCGTCCCCATCACTATACTGGGGCATTAGGACCCACACACACCACAGGTTGGGCGCCCCCTGCTGGCCTCACTAACACCGGCAGCAACCTAGCTTTCCCATGTGGTCTCCCATCCAGGTACTGATCGGGCGCAGTCCTGCTTAGCTTCAGTGGGCGACCATGTGACAGTTGCAGAGAGCTAGCTGCCGGCTAACAGTAAACAGTGTTGGTTTTCTGAGCAGTCAAATAGCATTCAGACACAGAACTTGAATAATNCCATGTAAAATAACACTGCAGAAGTCTCTACTGTATAAATAATTCAATACGATTATTCTTTATTAAAGTTACTAATGGTAAAGATTAGGGGTGTAACGATTTATCGTTGTACGATTTATTGCGATGCAAAAATGTCACAATATGCATCGTGGCGTTATGACGATATGATTACGATATGGCGTCCGTTTTCTCTTATAAGTTGAGCTGTTTGTACGTGAGCTACGTTCCACCTGCTGTCGCACGTGAGTTCAGATTGCAGCAGCAGTAATGTTAGCAGACCAAGATGAGCGGAGCTGAAATAGAGGATGGCCCATCCTCTCAAAATCAGACGTCTGGCAACATTTCGGTTGTCCAGTCATTGCTTTAGACTCGTCCGCTTTTTGACACGCATACTGGGTCAAACATCCTAAGTTTTAAAGTCTTCACAGTGATTTACATACTTTGCACAGCGACAGGGATACCTCCTAATGGTGTTGAAAGAGTCACATGCTGTATTTATAAGGTACAATTCACCATAAAATATCATTCTGTCTTCATATAATGTTCCCTCCGCAAAATCACACATGACGTGAGCTGTTACTACAGAGGGCGGACTTTGATAGACGCGTGCGTATGGCAAGCCGTTTTAGCATTTAAACCTTTGTTCTGACTATCCATAAATGTATTTAGAGATATCTCTAATTATATTTTGACTAGTCATAATTATAATTCGACTAGTCAGAATGACAATTAGAGATATCTGCAATTACAATTGTACTAGTACGAAATCAGATTGGAGATATCTGCAAATTTATTATGACTAGTCATATTCCTCCATTGACTTCCATTGAAAAATATTTGCAGATATCTCTAAATGAGTTTTGACTAGTCACAATTGTAATTAGAGATATCTCTAAATGAATTTAATTAAATATGAATTAAATACCTGGAAATGTGGATTTTTTTTTGCACACACAAAAAACGCAAGTGACCAAGCAAAGCCTTAAGCTCTTACTGTTAAATTCAATTGAATAAAAAGCTTATTTCTTTTGCATCTTTACCTAAATTGTTCCTTAATTTTGTCTCTGTCATTTCAATAATATTTTTAAGAAGTTTTTAAATTGTTTTATTTTCCAGAGACAGTCCTGTTTAATTTATTTTCTTAAAGAAGGTTCAGTTTAACAAGTTAAAGCAAAAGAAATACATAAAAAAATAGTTTACTTGGTAAAATTTGCATTTCAGTTTAATTTTCAATTTTGAATCCAAATATCGTGATACATATCGAATCGTGAACATTATATCGTGATACACATCGTATCGTGAGCTGAGTGTATCGTTACACCCCTAGTAAAGATGCTTGTGCATCAATACTTTGAACTCTATCTGGATCTAAAAACATGCAAATGAAACAACTTTGACTCCATTTTGGTTAAACTCTGCAACAACTACACAATTCTCATGTGTTCTGAACTGTCATGTCAAATATAATTATAACTCAACATTGTATATCCTGCGATGTGACCATTGCGGATTTTGATGTCGATGCTGAAACAATATATTGTGCAGCCCTAATTTATTGTCAAAGAGAGAGATTTTTGTTGTGGAAATACAACTGTGCCATGCTGGATCAGCAAGTTTTCACTTGAGTGTTTCTATTTACTCGCCCGAGGCGGAAACATGTGTGGGTTTTTTCTGAAAATAGCGAGGGCCTGAGCTCCTTTAAGCCTCTTGATTTCCTTTTCTCTCACAGATGTGGACGAGTGCGCCGAGGCCCTGGACAGCTGCAGTATAGATGCCATCTGTCAGAACACCCTCAAGTCATACAAATGCATCTGCAAATCAGGATACAAAGGCGACGGGAAACACTGTGAAGGTGAGAAGCATTCACTGAGAGAGAACGATGCTGAAACACACCAGACCAATGAAGGAAGAATACTGAAAATAAACACTTGATTCTGGATATTTAGTGTAGACTGCATGCAAAGAGCGTCTTATTTTGGAGTAAGGTGTGCAAGGGGTCTTAAAGTCTTAAAATATCAAAAACTACATTTACATTTTAGGCGTTTAGACTTATATTCACTGAATTATTGTCCTGTAGATCTTAAATCATTTAATTTTCCCATGAGGGATGCGTTTTCCAAATGACGACGTAACTGGCGGTGTTATATTATGAAAGAAGTGTTTGCCATTTGATGCAAATGCTTCATTCTGACACGTGTATGGCATTTTGAATGTAGTGTTACATTTCGAAGGAGACGTGAGGCATTTTGTGTGCAGTTTTGAGAATTGTGTATAGAGTTTTAAAATACAGTGGACTCTGGTTTGAAAATGTGTGTGAGCTGTTTGAAAAAAACTGTAAAAATCTTTATGAACCTTTTGCTGATGGAGATGAATGTTTGCATCTGACAACAGGTTTTGAAGTTTGGTTTCATTCTATAACACTGGACTTATTATTCTATGAAAGTTTAAACTTTGATAGTGTTTAAACAGGAGAGAAAAGTGTGGGAAGAATGAAGGAAAAACACTGAAAATAAACACTTGATTCTGGATATTTAGTGTACACTGCATGCAAAGAGCGTCTTATTTTGGAATAAGGTGTGCAAGAGGTCTTAAAGTCTTAAAATATCAAAAACTACATTTACATTTTAGGCGTTAAAAAGTCTTATATTCACTGAATTATTGTCTTGTAGATCTTAAATCATTTAATTTTCCAATGAGGGATGCGTTTTCCAAATGACGACGTAACTGGTGGTGTTATATTATGAAAGAAGTGTTTTTTTATGCAAATGCTTCATTCTGACACGTGTATGGCATTTTAAATGAAGTGTTACATTTCGATAGAGATGTGAGGCATTTGGTGTGTGCAGTTTTGAGAATTGTGTATAGAGTTTTAAAAAAGAGGGGACACTGGTTTGAAAATGTGTGTGAGCAGTTTGAAAAAAATTGTAAAAATCTTGAACCTTTTGCTGTCGGAGATGAATGTTTGCATCTGACAACAGGTTTTGAAGTTTGGTTTCATTCTATAACACTGGACTTATTTTTCTATGAAAGTTTGAACTTTGAGAGTGTTTAAACAGGAGAGAAAAGTGTGGGAAGAATGAGGAAAAAAAACTGAAAATAAACACTTGATTCTGGATATTTAGTGTACACTGCATGCAAAGAGCGTCTTATTTTGGAGTAAGGTGTGCAAGGGGTCTTAAAGTCTTAAAATATCAAAAACTACATTTACATTTTAGGCGTTAAAAAGACTTATATTCACTGAATTATTGTCTTGTAGATCTTAAATCATTAAATTTTCCAATGAGGGATGCGTTTTCCAAATGAGGACGTAACTGGCGGTGTTATATTATGAAAGAAGTGTTTGCCATTTGATGCAAATGCTTCATTCTGACACGTGTATGGCATTTTGAATGCAGTGTTACATTTCGATGGAGACGTGAGGCATTTTGTGTGTGCAGTTTTGAGAATTGTGTATAGAGTTTTAAAATACAGTGGACTCTGGTTTGAAAATGTGTGTGAGCTGTTTGAAAAAAACTGTAAAAATCTTTATGAACCTTTTGCTGATGGAGATGAATGTTTGCATCTGACAACAGGTTTTGAAGTTTGGTTTCATTCTATAACACTGGACTTATTTTTCTATGAAAGTTTAAACTTTGAGAGTGTTTAAACAGGAGAGAAAAGTGTGGGAAGAATGAGGAAAAAAAACTGAAAATAAACACTTGATTCTGGATATTCACTGCATGCAGAGAGCGTCTTATTTTGGAATAAGGTGTGCAAGGGGTCTTAAAGTCTTAAAATATCAAAAACTACATTTACATTTTAGGCGTTAAAAAGACTTATATTCACTGAATTATTGTCTTGTCGATCTTAATGTGCTTTCACACCTACACTTTTGTTTCGGAACCTGTCTCGTTTGGCCAGTTAGCGCGGTTCGTTTGGCATATGTAAACAGGGCAATCGCGCTCTGTTCTGCGCCAAAGTAATCGCTCCGAGATCGCTTGAATTAGGTGGTCTCGGCTCGATTGAAACGAACCCTGGAGCGGTTCGATTGCAGTGAGAAAGCGATCCGATCCGAGCGCGGTTATATCACAGTGTTTTATGGATATGTAATAGGCTTACAGCTATATGAAGAGAGAGTTATGAGTAGGGCGGGAAGTTTCGCGAGTCTCCGGATGCCCGCAAACGAGTGATGATCTCCCGGTAATCTCGCGTCTCCCTCCCTCAAATAGGCATCATCGCACACCCTTCTAACCCCTCCCCACCACATCTCTCCTCAAACACATCGCGCGCGTGCACCCTGTCAATCACTACCAAACCACCACCTCTCCTGACAGCTGAGCACGACGCTGCAAAATAAACCCTGACACTCTGACTAATGTAAGGAGAGTTTACTCGCACGTGACTTGTTTTAACTCTTTTGGTCCGTTTAGAAACTTTGCAATGTGAAAGCGAACCGCTCCAAGAGCAAAGAGCAACAATGTAACAATTGTAATCTCTGTTTCGGAACAACTGAATCGATTCACAGATGTGAAAGCACCCTTAGGGTGCTTTCACTCCTACACTTTTGTTTCGGAACGTATCTCGTTTGGCCAGTTAGCGCGGTTCGATTAGCATATGTGAACAGGGCAATCGCGCTCTGTTCCGCGCCAAAGTAATCGTTCCGAGATCGCTTGAACGAGGTGGTCTCGGCTCGATTGAAACGAACCCTGGAGTGGATCGATTGCAGTGAGAAAGTGATCCGATCCGAGCGCGGTTATATCACAGTGTTTTATGGATATGTAATAGGCTTATGACTATATGAAGAGAGAATTATGAGTAGGGCGGGAAGTTTCGCGAGTCTCCGGATGCCCGCAAACGAGTGATAATCTCCCGGTAATCTCGCGTCTCCCTCCGGTCCTCAAATAGGCATCGTCGCGCACCCTTCTCACCCCTCCCTCTCTTCTCCCTCCACCCCTTCTCATCCGTCTCTCCTCAGACACGTCGCGCGCGCACCCTGTCAATCACCACCAAACCACCACCTCTCCTGACAGCTTAGCGGGACGCTGCAATATAAACCCTGACACTCTGACCAATGTGAGGAGAGTTTACTCGCACGTGACTTGTTTTAGCTCTTTTGGTCCGATTAGAAACTTTGCAGTGTGAAAGCGAACCGTTCCAAGAGCAAAGAGCAACAATGTAACAATTGTAATCTCTGTTTCGGAACAACTGAATCGATTCACAGGTGTGAAAGCACCCTTAAATCATTTAATTTTCCAATGAGGGATGCGTTTTCCAAATGACGACGTAACTGGCGGTGTTATATTATGAAAGAAGTGTTTTTTTTAATGCAAATGCTTCATTCTGACACGTGTATGGCATTTTGAATGCAGTGTTACATTTCGAAGGAGACGTGAGGCATTTTGTGTGCAGTTTTGAGAATTGTGTATAGAGTTTTAAAAAACAGGGGACACTGGTTTGAAAATGTGTGTGAGCAGTTTGAAAAAACTGTAAAAATCTTTATGAACCTTTTGCTGACGGAGATGAATGTTTGCACCTGACAACAGGTTTTAAAGTTTGGTTTCATTCTATAACACTGGACTTATTTTTCTATGAAAGGGTGCTTTCACATCTGTAGTTCGCTTCATTTGGTCCAGACCAAGGGCAATAAATGATACATTGTTGCATTTTCTGCCGTCTTGGGTCGTTTTCACACCACACTGCTGGCTTTGGTCCGAACCAGTTGAAACGAACCAAAATAGAGTCATCTGACAAAATCCACATCTCTCATTGGCCAGATGTTGTTGAACATATTTCCTAAACTGCTTATTGATTGGTCAGAAATCACGTGCGGGAAAATGCCAGTGAACTCCCGCAGGTAAACAAAACCTTTAACTCTGGAGGGACGACTGCGCTGGCTGATTGTATGCCTGCTTTAGACAAACTAGACATTACGAAAATCAAGCGCGGCTGCAGCTGGAAAACAGTGTTTAATGCATCGCTCGTCACTTCAGGAGGAGGAGTAAAATAATTTAGCTAAACTGCGACATGGTCATCTTGCGGAAATATTACCAACAAACCAACATAATACAAAAATAAAACGTTTGCACCTTTGACTGAATTCACACTTTTTGTCCTCTTTTCGTTCCACTGTATAATTGTATTTAAATGCATGCAAGATAAATAGACCTGAATGTAAATATAGCGAGATATAACGAGATTCAGATTGCTGTTTGAGCTAGTTAAGAACTGTGACCAGCCATGCTGCTCATTTCAACAGGCGATTGCTGCTTTCTCAAGGCTTAAAGACTGTTATTTACTCCGAAGCCACGTTATTTGTAGCAAATAGCTATCAAGAGTTTTGCAATAGCTTTCATAGGATTAGGATCCGGTTTTTAGTGCTTGTCTTGATGTGTGTGCTGAAATTCAGCACGTGGAGAAGTATATTTGAACAGCGATGCTCGTATCTCTCCAGCACACATTTGTATTTCCACACCATATCAAGGGCTTTACAGGCTGATCCCAGTTCAGTCATGAGGGCCGTTTTAACGCAGCACAAACATTCCCGAACTCATTCACTTCCCAGTGTTTTGCCTGGGCTTAAGATGTTTGTATCCAGAAAGGATCACATTGGCTAAGTGGCTCCAAAAGCAGCATACACCTCTCCAAATACAACTGAGCTTTAAAAACTTCCCTCAAGGCATACCAGAACACAATATAAGCAAAGATATGGCTATATCAACGCAGAGCTCCAGACCAAGACTGCAAGCTTGGCTTTTGACCAACGACTTGTCTAATTATGCCAATTAACTCAGTTAAGCCTTTTATTGCAAAGACAAAATTAATGAGTTATTAAAGCTATTATGTCTCAAAATGCTAAAAAAAGATTGGGAACAT